GCAGCAGCAGCAGCAGCACCACCACAACTGCCACTGCCACTGCCAGTGCCACTACGAGAACCACCACTACACCACTTCTGCTGCTGTCACCACTAGGAATGACGATGCTCAAGAGTCATCGTGGCGCTACTCATCTGCAAGGGAAACGTCCGGCAGCGTCCCATAAGTCTGAGTCAACTCAACTTTGGGAGCGGCAGGGTGTGCGTGCTAAATGCTTCCACCCAAGTGCTCAACCACTTTTTGTCGGTGTCTGAAGCAACGCAAAGAGTCAGGCCTGAACGAGTCAGGCCTGAACCACTCAGAAAAGGTACGAGTAAGTCTTATGTTGAAGGTTGATTACATGAGGGCACTTGCAGAAAACTCTCAAGCTAGACCCCAAGCCTTGTAGGCATTTCGCTATACCGCAACCACCGACCCAAACTCTTGAACCTATCTATCTCCACAGTTCCCCACTGATATCGTGTTCGATGTAAGCCCAGTTGAGAAGCCCGAACTCTAAACCCTTGAACCAGGAAGCACCAACTGATGCTCCAAACCCCAAACCTCTAGACACACCCATAAAATCCAAAAAATCCTAGAGCTCCCTTTCAAAATCTGTGCCCGGAACCCCAAACCCAAAAACCTAAACCCAGAACCCCAAACCCAAAAACCCTAGACCCTAAACCCCAAACCCAAAAACCCTAGACCCTAAACCCCAAACCCAAAAACCCTAAACCCAAAACCACCAAACACCCAAAACCCTCAACCCAAAAACCCATAGAGCCCAAAAAACCCAAGTCCGTGACTTCGAAGTTGAGGCCGAAGTTTTCGAAGGTTCGAGCTCTATCTGCCGTGTCCTCCACCCTGCGTCTCTATAGGGATAATGGAAAAGAGCATGGAGACTACTAGAGTATAGGGTTTAGGGTTTAAGAAGACTACTATAGTAGACGGGGGGGTTGTAAGGGATAATGGAAAAGAAAATGGAAAATATTATCGTACGTTGGGGTCATATAGGGATAATGGAAAAGAAAATGGAAAATGTTGTAAAATTGCGGTTATATTGGGTTTTTGGGTACCCTCAAAAAAGATGGTGCCGGATGATGATGGGGATCCAAAAAAAGGACCATAATTTTGACAACCACCCATATAGGCATAATGGAAAAAGAAAATGCAGACTGCTGTAGTATACGGTTTAGGGTTGAGGGTTGAGGGATAATGGCAAAGAAAATGGAAACGGAAAGTACAATTATAGTGTAGAGTTTATAGGGTTCAGGGATAATGGAAAAGAACATGGAAATTGCTGTAGTACAGGGTTTAGGGTTTAAGGTCTAAGGAAAATGGAAAAGAGAATGGAAACCCCCAGGTTCAAGGCTCAGAGTCTACGGTTTGAGGCTCGGGACTTAGCGTTGAGGGTTTAGTTGTGTTTGAGCGCCCCGTTTCTGCTGTCCAGCGAAAACCATTACTGACTGAGCGCATCCCTGAATCGTTGACTGCGCGCCTTCAGGGCTTAAGGTTTAGAATTCAGGCTCTGGCTCAGGCTTCAGGCTTGAAGGTTACTGGGGTGCTTAACGGAGAGTAAAACATGAATGGAAGCTACTGCTCTGACTCTAAGCTTTAGGGTAGACTGGGTGTTGATACTTGTATACTTGTAACTATCCCTATATTATCACCCCCGTATAGACTTATGGAAGAGCAACTACAATTTTCTTCCGCAATGCCCACTAGCACCAGCAAGTCTACAAACCCTAAACCCTAAACCCTAAACCACCACCCTATAGGGGCCTACTCAGGGTCATGCACGGGCTTGAACATTGACCATAATGAGTGCGTCTAACTTGGCATCTTTACATGCTTAGACTCTAAAACCCTAAGACGCAAAGCCTAAACCATAAACTCTAGGAAGCGTAACAAGGGGTCCCACTTTGGACTGCACACGGGAACCTGCTTTTTGGTAATTTACTCCTCTCCCTCTTACCTAGGCCGCATGGTTTTGGGCCTTGGGTTGACTTGCAGTACTATGCTGCGCCCTTCAGAGGGTATACAAGGAATATATAGCCGGCGGTTATAAAGGGACTATGACGATGATCCTTTTGACCCTAAGTAGTACGTACTGGTACATTCCTACACTTTAATGATGATGGGCAGTGTTCGAATTTAGTGCCTCTACAGGACCCGGCTTTAAGCCATACCCAGCCACTGCTCTTCCGCATTGTTGCAAAGATATATGTGCTTCACAATGTGAGCATTATCCTGGCCAGGGAGACTCATACTCCTGTTGCAATCCCTACATATCCCTGTGGCCCCTAGAGCCTTCGACTTTTCAAAATCAATCCGTATAAGAAGGATTACAATATATTGGATCTATATGGGGACCCTTATCTTTGGAGCCTAAGCGCTACGTCCTAAGCCCTTTTACCCTAAACACGTAACATGAGTGGGAATTGCAAGAGGATCATGGGTGTCCCCTGTGAAGGATCCCTTTCGGGTACAAGTCAGCCGTTTAAATTCTGATAGGAGTACACAGACACCCTCGCCCCTAGCCCCAAATAAAGGTGGTTAATTACTCTAAACCCATGCAAGGCTTGGACGCTCCTGTTTTGCTTGGGCTCTGGCTGGCACTCAGTCATGTGAATTTTTGCGGAGTTTCCGACCGGTTCAGACAAGGTTAAACAGGGATATCTGGATTGAGAGTGGTTCTAGGAGCTTTAGGATATTGAAAACTGGGTAATTATTCCTTTTCAACAGGAGTCCGAAGAGTAAGAAGTATACTGGATTGGGGCCCCCTGCTTCTGCGGCCCCCTCTGTGGAATTTCCTCTTTGCACCTGTCCTTCTGTGGGGGTCCTGCCAGAAGGGAACCTGTGGTTATGGTTTTGGGGGGCCGTTACCCTTTCGGGGGAAACTACGATGTGAAACTGTAGAGGCGCCACCCATTCCAGTAGGCGCGTCTGGCGATGATTTCTGCTAGATAGGTGAGACTTCCGCGCAGTATCACTGAACCCTAAACCCTAAACCTTAAACCATCTAAACTGTTCTAACATTCTAACAGGGATCAAAGTCGACAAGAGCATGCGCTGCGATCTTGTGTCGCCAGCAGACGCGATTTGCAGCAAAACAACTTTGTTGAGCAATCTCAAATGGTCTGCAGGTGTTGCTGCAGTTGTGCAGTGGTACTACTATTGTACCACTGTGCTGCTTGTGGGTCTTCCAACAAACAGCTGGTTATGGCGGTCACCCAGCGATGCCAAGGATCAACGAAGGCATTTCGCTGCGGGCAATGAATGTAAACAAGGCTTCCTTACTGTTGGACCCCTGCCCTAACCCACTATGATGCCCAGAAACAAGCTCTAGCCATTGCTTCATTCCCCACGAACCAACCCTAAGCACGAAACCCGTAACATCAAAAAATACGTGGCAGAAGCCTGAAACCTTTGGTCCAAACACAGTGTGCTGGATCATGATATTTTCCATTCCTTCCTTTCCCCAAAAACCGCTAACCAACGGCAAGCTGCTGGCCACGTTCATTATGGCATCTCGGCACATACATAGCTCGGGCCAGGGACAAGCAACAGGCCTTGGGTTGAGCTCTTGGCACACCTGGCAGAGGACGAAGACGTTGGTGGTGTAGTTAGCCATGTCGGCAAGTCGAGGTGACGACCCAAAGTTGCAGAATTCATCTTGAACCAGCTGCACATTTCCTTGACTGTCCAGTATTTCTTTCTCAAGGTTAACCTTTGGGATCCTTCTATGCCTCATATAAACCCAAAAATGAAAGGTTACTGACTAGACGGGTAGGTTTCCATTCTCAACCACTTCTGCCTGAGCGCTTGTGTAAATCTCTACAAGCTGCGGTTGAGACTGGTTGTTACAGGCAGCATCTGCTTCTGCAAGGAGACGCTCAAAGTCCTGCATGGGCTGGCAACCGTGGCATATGTGCACAACAAGCTGGCTATCATCCACTGCCTGCGAAAAAAGGCATGGACATGAATGCAAACTTATCGGCAGGGAGTGTGAGAACAATGCACCACAAAGTAGGTCCAAAACAAGAGAGCTAGCGTATGCTGAAAATAACACACCCGAAAACGCCCCTAAAGAGAAGACACATTAAATCCAGAAATTATCAAGCAAAAAAGAAAGGCCCCCTTGCAGTCCTGGACTTGCTGGGGCGTGAACTGTTCGCTGGTGCTACAGTGGGAGTTGTAGCCCGTAATCTTACCTGGGTTTCGAGTTTAGGGTTTAGGGCTTAGACCGTAGGGTGTAGGGCTTCAGGCTTTGGGTCCTCATAGGTCCTCGCAGAACCCTGACAGCGGTTCTGTGTCGAAAAGGGTATCGGGGGCTTGATACGGATGTGCCAGGGATTATGCAAGGATGTTCTTTAACATGGCCATGTTGATCTCTTTGAGAAGGTAACACAAGGTCTGGGCTGTGCACTCTAAGCTTAAAATACGTTTAGGGCGTGGCTTGATGACGCAGAGTTGATGACGAAGGCCTACCTGTGACCCCAATTATACTTGCAGTTTAGAAGCAAATACCTCTGAATTTGTAGGGGCCAGGGCTGAAGCTTTTGGGTTTAAGGTTTGGGGTGGAAGGTTCTGTTCTGGTCGTGGATTAGGGTGTAAGGCTTTGCAGCAAATTCTCGACGGATTTTTCGTTCGTAGCCCTTCACGCTACGCCTCGTCAGGGGGACTAGGGCTTAGGGTGGCTTAGGGCTTGGAGTCAAAGCTTCAGAAGGAAAACAGAACAACATCCTGATGCAAAGCCAGCTGCGTAGCCTCTGATTCAGTCCATCGGATATTAGCAAGTCACCTTTTAGGATCTCTACGAACCTAGGACCCAAAGGGCCTAATTACTTATAAGAACCCAATGAACAAAACTGGGCTGATATTGAAGAACATATAGTAACTTACAATTGCACACAAACTACCACATTTTCACAATCTATCCATATCGTGGTAACTGAGTTTGGCTACTTAACAGCAAGTCAGAAAGGTAAAGGGACTTCATTGGGAACCCCAAATAGGGAACCCCAAGAATATAGTAGGAGTACAGGAGGAACATAGGTAGGTATATTCCCATTATATTCCTGCTATATTCTTGGGGTTCCCTATGCTGGGTTCTAGTAAAGTCCCTTAAAGAAGAAGTTGTTTTGGGAATCGGAAGCCAGCCTTTGGAGTCCACCGCGCAAGTGAAGGGTTTGTTCAAATAAGCCTCCGCGGGTGGACTTCAAGGTTTAGGGTTTAGAGTTTAGGGTTTAAGGATTTTAGGGTTTAGGTTCAGGGCTTAAGCTTAGTTAAGTTTCCGGGGGTGGACTGTCCAACCCTACAACCCTAAACCCTAATTCCAGGGTATAGGGGGTAGGGATTACACTGATTACACTGCCCCGAACTTACGGTCCAACACCTTGAGTTTAGGGCAACTATTTTCTATTGGAGTTATATTGGGGTTGTATAGGGATAATGGAAAAGAACATGAACATGGAAACTACTATAGGGTTTAGGGTTCAGGGTTTGGGGTTATATAAGGAAAATGGAAAGGAAAATGGAAACTATGGGGATGACATAGGGTTACATGCGCCAGCATCCACCACGTTCAAGGTACCCCCCCACCCCCCTGTGGCCTGTGGTCTGGGTTGTGTTCTGTGATTTAAACTAAGGCTTAGAGAAGGTACCCTCCCCCCCCTGTGGCCTGTGGTCTGGGTCTTGTCCTGTGGCTCAAAGAAAGGTTAAAAGAAAGTTTATTGTATTTGT